AGAGAGAGAGAGAGAGAGAGAGAGAGAGAGGCAGATGTATTAACCTTCTTGTATGATTATAAGAGGTAAATCATGTTCTCGAGGAGTAAAAATAGGTAATTACCAATGGACTCCGGTTACAGGTCATAAAACAAGAGACAAATAAATGAGTTTGACACAGTGTATATGTTACATTACACGTTGCAACGAAAAATACACAAGGCGATATTTAGGCCTACTTTTTATTATTATCATCATCATCCAGTGCCAGATCTGCGACAGATATCGGCGATCATGGTTCTCCATTCTTTCCCTTGCTCGGATGCTCTCAAAAAAGATATTTTTCCATGATCTTTCCCTGTTACCCATTCGTTTCGTTCCCTTCGTATGTTGTTCTGGGCCTACCCCTGTCTCGCTTGCCCTCAGTTTTGTCAGACAGAGCTAGATGTTTAAGACCCTTAGGTCTATTTATGTGGCCCAAAAACTGCATTTATTGTCGTTGCCTGGTTGTTTTTTTCACATTGAGCGTCCTACGTGGGCTTCATCAAGCACTTCCTCATTTGATTTCTTTTCCTTCCACGATACTGATGCTTCTATTTTATTTTCACTGTCTTTAGTGATCGTCCAGCATTCACAGCCATATAGAAGGGTTGACCAAACATAGCATTTCAGAACTTTCATTTTGGTGTTCAGTGAGACGTTTCTATTTTTCAGCATTGGGCTCATTTTATTGAAACTATTTATTATAATACATCATGATCAAAATTGGTCTCTTTAATATATATTTTCTAGAGCCTACAGGCACAGAAATGAGCAGCAAATCATGACTGCCGATATTTAATTCCGATGTGGCACTTGAAGAAGAAGTAGGCCTAGAAGAAGAAGGAGTTTACATTAGTCTCAACTCTTTGTCTTGTACTCACCAAAAATTCTCCCTTCGTGTACCTCGCGTTGGGGCAGCTCACTCGTTCCTGTTCATCAGGGTTGGCTCCGTAAGGAAATCCCTGGAGATACATGCACATGTATATAGGCTATATAGGCGTATATAATATTGGAGAATATCGTAATAGCAGGTAAGTTTGATGGAAAGAGAGGCAGAGGCAGACGGAGGGAAAAGATACTGGACAAGATGACAACATGGCTGGGAGCAGCAAGAACAACAGACACCATTGCCTCAACGCAAGGCAGAGTAAAGTGGAGGTCCATGATCGCCCACCCCAGTCGGCAAGGCA